ATGTAGATTTGGGACTAGAACCCAGTGTTCATTTTATCCTACAACAGTCCTCCAAGTCAGTCAGGTTTCTGAATGCCCTGCCGTCTTTCCCATCTGTGTTCTAGGGGCAGTTGCTAGAGAAAACTCACCTGGGGGCTGAAGTTCATTCTCTTGAGGTCTGTGCATAAGACTGAGAATGTAGGGTGCCTAGGGCCTCAGGGTGATACCAGAGAAACAGCTTCTAAGCCTTTCCAACCCTTGTACCTCTGTTCATCCTTAACCTAAATCTATAGATTGTATTTCTATGTGGTCTGTTACTTAGGGTTTGAGTGAAGGCTGCAGTGGGGACAGGTAAAAGTTGTTTCAGCTGTCTAAAGAGTATGTGATCTAGGAGAGAAAATGAGTGGATACAAGTGTATACACTGTAAGTGACTCACAGCAGCATCCACATGTGTCTGTGAATGCTAAAGGCTCAGATGGAGTGATGTTCTGCAGGTTAGAGTTGAATCTTTTAAGAGGGAATCGAATTAGGGAACATGGTGATCATAAAATAGCACCACTGCAAATCTGCGTTGGTTGGCATTTCGGGTGTATAGACGATTCTTCCCTAATTAACCAGAACTGACCACAGCCATGTGGAGATCTGTACAGGGACATGGGAAGAGTAGTCAGGGAATTGCAATTAGGATTTACGCTATTTGGAAGGTGCATAAACAACCATCGGTAGAGTGGCGGTAGGGTGCGGGAGCAGTGTGGCATGTGTGGGGTGTCAAGGTTAAGTGTGTGCCCAGCCTTCTTAGATGGAATTCAGATAGGTGTCATTGGAGATAAGGTGTATGAAGAGTTTCCTAGCCAAGAGTGTTACTTTGATTATGATGGGAGTCGCTTGAGGATTCTGCAAGATGTGGCATCAAAACAGTGTTTGTGGTCTTGTTTTCTTTTGATTTCACAGTATTGCTAGACTTTGGACCTTATTCTTCAACACACTTCTAGCCCTTCATAGAACAGGACTTTACAAGGCAACTCTATAGATGTTTTATTTGTGGTACAGCATGGTCGAGAAAGGCAGCTTTGGGGGTGTTGCCCGGGTGGCTCAGTCGGTTAAGCGTCCAACTCTTGATTTTGGTTCACGTCATGATCTCACAGTCCATGAGATCTAGCCCCATGTCGGGGTCTGCGCTGACAGTGTGGAGCCTGCTTGGGATTCCCTGTCTCTCTCTGTTCCTCCCGCTTGTGTGCGTGCGCTTTCTCTCAATTGAAAAAAAAAAATTTAAAACAACTTTTGATATAAGATGCAGACTGTCCAATTAAACATCTCTGAGACTGTGTGAGATTAATAAACTCAGCTCCTAAAAATTCCCTCAGTTTATGGCTGGTATATCAAATATTCATAATCCCAACATTGTAACTATGTGTGAGGGGAGGTAGGCCTTATCTAAATGAGAAATTGGACAGTTTTTAGAGATTTCCAGGTTTCTCATGGAAAATGTGATTATAGTGAACATGTCTGCTTTATGTTGCTTCTTCATCATTGGACACTGTCCAAAAGTGCCAAAATCCTTGATGTTTTTAGCATGTGAGAATGTTGACAGGTCCCTCAGTCTCAAGAAGCCTGGAGATATCTGTACTAAAACAATTTTCTACAGAATATTAAGTTTTGGGGTACCTGGGTGGCTCACTTTGTTAAGCATCTGCCTTCGGCTCAGGTCATGATCTCGCATTTGTGGGTTTGAGCCTCGCATTGGGCTCCATGCTGACAGTGCAGAGCTTGCTTGAGATTCTCTCTTTCTGCCCCCTTCTGTGTGCACTCTCTCTCTCTCCCTCTCTTTCTCCTAAACTTAAAAAAATATTGACAGTTTTAAAGAAACTATGACATGACTAATAGATAAATGGGAATCTCTTAAATACTACTTTTTATCAGGAGCTCATAAAATACTTGAATCCATTTAATGAGACATGTGTATTAATGAGTTAAGAATATGGCACCTGGTATTGTTAGGAGGTACACTATCAGGGACCCGTCAGCCATAGGGATTGACTTGAGTTGGATTTATTTATTACCTTCATCCTTGATTTTAGATGATGGAATTAAAAACCTGTTTAGGTTAGCCTCAGGTCAGGCAAGGTCAGGCCACTTGTAAGTCACAAAGAAAATGAAACCCAGAATGAGAAAAAGTAGAGGAATGGACTATTGCCTTAGGGTAAAATTTGATTACACAGGTGCAAGAAGATATAATTGGGGATTAAAATCTAAATTGGTTAGGACTGGAAACAGACCTGGATTAAGCAGACATAAAATAAAGGGCCATGAGAGGCTCCGGGAGCAACTCAGCAGTAGAGTGTTGGTACTGAAAATTGTGACAGATGTGGACTGAGATGGATCAAAGGGATACAGTGACGAAACCGAGCAATAGTCCTGCTGTATTCTGAGTATTTTATAACCATGTAGAGTTTCTGGTTTGAGTTTTCATTTTAACAGGAACGTGAGAATGCTTAGTCAAGAAAAGAGCAATGGACGTGAGAAAAGACCAATGGCTGGTCGGTCCTCACCAGAGGTGTAGACTGAATGTGGGGCATCAGCACTTGCTGGTGGCTCCAGCAGCAAGGAGGGCACCACAGGGCTGGCTTGTCTGCAAGGGGTCTGCTCTGTCAGCAGTTACCACTGGGCGTGAGGTGGAATTTGGTGGGGTTTTTTTATTTGTGATAAGTTCATTAGAACTTAATTTCTCAGAACTCCTAATTAACTAAAATCTCTAATGTCCTTTTTTTTTGTCTTTTCTTTTTTTAATGTGTTATTTATATATGAGAGGAGCAGATATTTGGTCAAAAGAAGCACTTTCTAATTGCCTAGGGTCATTACAGCTTCAGCCTCATCTCTCATAACTTCTACTTCACCCTCAAGACTGTAAAGCAGTCATTGATGTTCAGTGTCCTGAGGTACTTCAAGATCATCAAAGGTAGATAGTTTTCAATAAAAAGGTTGAAATAGGATATTTCTGGCTAACCTTCACTTAATCAGCTACATTTTAGAAACCCTACTTTTTTTTCTGAGTATTCTGCTTCGTCAAAGTTTTAATTTACAGGGGGTAAAAAATACTGAGGAAGCGGGATTTTGAAGGCTCTGTTATAAAAAGTGCTAATCAGCTATTCTTCATCTTCACAACAGGCAGAATTAGAAGAAATGGGCTTAGTTTGCAGGAGAGATTTAGGGGAGTCCTAAGGAACAAATTTCTGATGGTAAGGGTTACTCAAATTGGAGTACATTACCATGGGAACTGGTTGTGTGTTCATCCCTGTTAACAGTTCTGTGATTGAGTACAGAAACCTTTGATGTTTTTAGGTCTAGAACCTACGCCCATCTCTCATCTTTCCCACCCTTTCTACTCTTGTCCCTTCTTTTGGCAGCATTTTATAGTCTTCATGACAGATCTCTTTCTGACCCATGGGAAAGCCCTTGAACTGTCTTTAGGATATAGTGCTACGAAGTTAGCTGGGGAGTGTAAAAGGAGGCAGTAAGAGGTAGGCTTAAAGTAGTAAATACAAAACTAACTAGTAATTGTCTTGGATTTTTTTTTTAAATAGAATTTTTAGAAATTCCTCCTTTCAACAAGCAGTATACAGAATCCCAGCTTCGAGCAGGAGCTGGCTATATTCTCGAAGACTTCAATGAAGCCCAGGTGAGGAGTTTTCTTTTTGTAGCTTCCCAGAAAGGGCAGTAACGAGAAGAGTGTGAGAGGGAGGGAACGGAGAGGTTGCATACAAGAGTTCAGGAACTGGGAGACTGCCACAAAGTTGTTGTATGAAACAGAATTTTTATGTGGGTGTAATGAAGAGAAGTTAGATCCCTTTTTGTTAAAGGCTGTTGTTCTGTTCCTGGGACAAAAGTGGATTAAAATTTGTGTTTAATAGAAATCCCGATTATAGTGTTGCTGATTCTCAGAAACTTGAATACCTGGGATTGGGTTGCCCCTTGAGGGTTTAGGCCCCCAGAAGCCTGTAGGAAGAACATCTAAAGAAGCCACATGGGCTTCTCATTGAGGAAGGTGGCCTTGGGTAAGACAGATTCAGGGACGTCTGGGTGACTCGGTTGAGCTTGATTTTGGCTCAGGTCATGACTCCAGGGTCTTGGGATGAGCTCCGCCTCGGGCTCTGCCCTGGGCGTGAAGCCTGCTTAAGACTGTCTCTCTCCCCCTCTGCTCCTCTCCCCAGCTCGCACGTGTGCTCTTAAAAAAAAAAAATCAAACACATTTTGGTTAATATTTTGGAAGTGTTCAGATCTCTTCTCTGTGACTCAGGGCTGCTAAATTTAGGAGCTTGCTGTAGAAGTCACGAGACTCATTGGTTCTCTTCTTCTTCCAGTGTAACACAGCCTACCAGTGTCTCCTCATTGCAGACCAGCACTGTCGAACCCGGAAGTATTTCTTGTGCCTTGCCAGTGGGATTCCTTGTGTCTCTCATGTCTGGGTCCATGATAGTTGCCATGCCAACCAGCTCCAGAATTACCGCAATTATTTGCTGCCGGCTGGGTATAGCCTTGAGGAGCAGAGAATTCTGGATTGGTGAGTATTTGGGAGCCCATATAGAATGGTAGGCAGGAAGGTAGCAAGCTTTTGGAGTGGGGAGACTCAAGATGAGAGAGTAATTCTAGAAATTGGGATGATCATAGGCTAAATTAGAGAATCTGAATGAGTTTTAGTAGTTCCTCCAGTTTATGTCCTTAGAGTACCCTGGTTAAGGACCTTTTGAATATGTGTGAGGCTTTCCATGTAGGTTCAGTGTTCTTAACCTCTAAGATTAGGGGACTGAATTTTTTTTTTTTTTTTTTTATTTCTAGGGGAGAGAGAGAGAGAGAGAGAGAGACAGCCAGCGTGAGCAGGGGAGGGTCAGAGAGGGAGTCACAGACTGAAACAGGCTCCAGGCTCTGAGCTGGCAGTCAGCACAGAGGCCGACACGGGGCTCGAACCCACGAACCGCGAGATCATGACCTAAGCGAAAGTCTGATGCTTAACCGACTAAGCCACCCTGAATTTTAAGCAAGGCATTTTATTCTCAGCCCCAGGACAAATGTGGACAGCAGAAGGGGTGAATTAGAAGGCTAGGATCCCAGAGAATAAATACACGATTCACCAAAGAGAAGGGGAGTGGTGCCCTAATGCAGGGCTTTTGAAAGTATTCCCATGTTGTTCGCTGTAATCTGTCCTGTTAAGGTCTTTTCCAATTCCAAGGTGCTGTGTCTGACTCCTTTGTAGGCAACCCCGTGAGAATCCTTTCCATAATCTGAAGGTACTCTTGGTGTCAGACCAACAGCAGAACTTCCTGGAGCTCTGGTCTGAGATCCTCATGACTGGGGGGGCAGCCTCCGTGAAGCAGCACCATTCAAGTGCCCATAACAAAGGTACCTGGAAAGTATGTGTGGTGTTACTGCTCCAAGGATGTCCTTCGACCCATAGGTGTTAGAGGTCTTGTGGTCTGATCCCTGTTTCTAAGAGAAGAAAGGCACCACCTTCAAAGAGCCACTAGGTGTGAGCTCTATGCTTCTACTGGTGTCCAGTGGTGTATTTATAAATATTTCTGCAAGGCTACCATATAGTGATTATAAGTATTTCTACAAAGTTATCATATAGTGGTTACAGCTTTTCACTTTGGGTTGTGATCAGTAACACTGATATAAAGGGCTGGAATTTGGGCACATTGAACATACTGGCACATCTTTCTAATGGAAGGCTAAATTGAGTCTCCTTTCCTCACTCACCTTCCCCTGCTTCCTGCAGATATTGCTTTAGGGGTATTTGACGTGGTGGTGACGGATCCCTCATGCCCAGCCTCGGTGCTGAAGTGTGCTGAAGCATTACAGCTGCCTGTGGTGTCACAAGAGTGGGTGATCCAGTGCCTCATTGTTGGGGAGAGAATTGGATTCAAGCAGCATCCAAAATATAAACACTATTATGTTTCTCACTAAGGATATTGGTCTTACCGATTTTATTCCCTGCTGTTGTGGAGTTTGTGTTTTAACCAGGTTTTAAATGTGTCTTGTGTGTAATTGGATTCCTTGCATGGATCTTGTATATAGTTTTATTTGCTGGACTTTTATGATAAAATAAATGTTGAATCTTTTTGGTTGTAGTAACTGGGATTTCTTCATCCATTTCTTTGAACTTAATCGCAGAACAAATAGCAAGACAAACATGTGGTACCTTCTCTGCAGTTTTCAGTGGGTTTGTTCATAGCAGAGGACAGCTAATCAAGGAAAATTACAAGTGAATTTAAAATTTTTCTGTGGCATCATTGTCTAAAGGTGATCTTGGGCTGTCTAAAATCCGATGCTTCCCAAAACCTAACTTTCCTGTAGGCCAAGATCAATAGTTGTAGCTAAAGCTGAATGGAATTGAGCATAGCTCTAAGTTTCCTGGCAATTAAAAATAAAAATCTCTTAAACTGAGCTGACAGCTGACTTGTGGGTACTGTAGTCTGAGAGATAAAAAGGGAAAAGCACCAACTGCTCTGAAAGGCCAGTGACTATAAGCTTGATGGGATGACTTTCTGTGGAGATAAACTGGAGAAACACAGTGACAACATTTGGAAATGTTAGAAGCTCTAGCCAGAGGCCCAAAATTTTTTATAACTATTATTCCTGTCACTAGAATAGTTACTAGAAGCTATTCCTTCCCTACCCCTAGCATCAGCCCTGCCAATGCCCTCTCATTTTCTAAAGCAGGGGTTAAAAACTTCTTCCTGCAAATTAGGAAATACTTTAGGCTTCCTGAGCCATTTGATTTGTCACAAGTACTCACCTGTGCTGTGAAGGCACGAAAGCGATCAGACAATAGGTGAACAAATGAGTGTGGCTGGGTTCCAATAAAACTTTATTTACACAAATAGGTGGCAGGCCATGGTTTGCAAACTTCTCCACAGGCAGCAGCGGAAGGGGTCATCCTCAGCACACAACTGCAGGGAATAGGATGTAGTATGTGGCAGAAGATGCAGAGATAAGGACCAGATTGCTGCATTCTTGTTCAGTATGGAGAGAGTTGTTCAATGAATATTTATTTTGGTTCACACCAATATGAACATTAATTATTACCAGTAATGGTTGGGCCAGATTTGGAGAACATCAAACTCCTGTGGTTCTTCTAAGAGGGGATAATTAGACCTGTGATTTTCAGTACTCGAAATCTTAAGAATTTGACCTGTTTTCTTAAGGACTCTTTTTCTTTGTTATAATACTACTTTAATACATTGTCAATAGCTAGGATTGCCCTTTTACCAGCGTTGAGGGAAGTGGGAGTTCTTACTGCTGTGTCCCGCAGCTGGAACCGTACCCAGATGCATAGTTGGTGCTCAATGCATGGATGTGCCTGACAGATGTTCTCCATGTCCTCGATCTCGCAAGGCCAGCAGAGGTAGAGCTGACACCACATGTCCTGCATGGTGGGTGAGTTACAAACTCCCCTAAGGTGGGGCAGACCCTTTCACATGGGAACGATTTGTACCTACGGATGTTCAGTAGTATTGCTTCTAGGAGATAAAGGTAGAGGCCTCAGGAGTCTGCAGGCATTTGTGGAATGGCTGGAGTGTTTTGAATCCTCCGTCACAGATTTGGGAACGTGATGGGACTGTTAGTTTGTGAACCAGTATTTTCACATCCCGAAACTGAAAGGAAAAAAGAGCCTTATCAAATATGCTATCCCCAGCTTTTCTTCAAAGAAGTAGGAATCAGGGCAACCTGTGATCTACATAATGTCATCTTAAAACTTAAGTTTCTTGGACTCTTCTGCTAAGATCACTTAGAAAAAACCTGCTTGAGGACATTTAAGAGAGTAAAAGGAGAACAATGTTTCTGAATAGGACAGACCTCTGAGAAAAGCCAACCATCACAAAATCTATTCGACTGAAAATAATTAGAAGGGCCAATCACCTTTCCCAGACATGGAAGCTGGGCCTGGTGAGGCAGGCAGGGTGCCCACAACTGCATTGCCAGTTCGTGTCAGAATTGGGAACCAGAGCCACACTGCTTCCCAGCAGGGCATTAGCCAAGACCTAACCACCCATCTCAACATCAGGGATTTAGTATTTTGCTAAGATGATGGCTTTTACTAGAAAATAAGCTTCATTAAAATTATTAAAGATAAGATGCAGCCCTTTTTCCCTCTGAGCTTTATAGATTGTTTATAAAATGAGGCTATCTGGACGAGACCGTGGCTAGAGCCTCCAAGCTCTGGAATACAACTCGTTAAAAAGCCACACACACACAGTCCACTGAGTTCCCCAAGGCTTGCTCCTACCTGCCCAGAGTTCCACCAGCCTGGGTGTAATATTTGTTATAATCTAGTCGTAAGAGTAGTTGAGCCAAATCTGAGTTGATCTGATGATTGCGAACGCTGGAGAGAATCTTGAATAGGAGTGATGACTGGCGGCTAAACCCCTGCAGAGAGAAGGACCCAAGCTGCCATTCCTTTGACTCACCAGTTCTCTGTGTGGAGTGAGGCGGGGAGGGCAGTTCCCTGAAAAAGTCTTGCCGAAAATTCTACAGCATCAGCTGGCCTTCCCACATCCTCCCCACCGTTAGCTCCTAAAACTCTTCTTTCTTTGTATTGAGACTATAGATTGCATGACTTTCTGTGAAAGTACACACTCATTCTCAGGAGGAGGTTAGCATCTGCTTTCAAGTTAATACATTCTCTTGTACACTGGGGGTGGGGAGAGCTGCGTGGTTTTGTTCTAGTCGGATAATCACAGTCTCCGTGAAATGGAGTTAGTTGAAGGAAGTAAGGAGGTTGGATAGGAGAATGTGAAAACAAAGCCAGTGCGTGTTTGTGGGCTGAAGAAACTATTCAGGGCTGAGCTATTTTTGAATGCTGAGATGGCAAATTATCTGCTTTAAAGTGAACTGACAGCAACATTTTTATCTTTATTTTATCTGTATTTCTGTGTGTACGTAATTATTGGGAATATGCCTTATTGACTCAGAGGGAAGGATCATGATTCCCCTTTGGCAAAACCACCTCTATCCTTTGGACAGGGCTGCACACCGCCCACAGGCGGGCAGACTCACCTTCACCAGGATGCTCAGCTGGGCGGCCCCACGTTCATCCAGTGGTCTCAGGTTCTGACTGACCAGCGAGCAAAAGCTGTGACAGAGATCTAGGATTTCATTCAGGCAGTGAAACACCTAACCAGGAAAGAGCTGGTATTAGGAAAAGAAGGTAGATCTATCCATGAAATTAAAGACGTGGGAAAACCATCTAAGAGCTACCTTATTCCCATCGTTTGGCCTCAGGAGAGATAATGTCACGTGCAAGTCTTGCCGGCCCCTCAAAATGCAGTATGTATAAAACCAGCTCCTCCCTTCCTGGCAAAAATGCTGTCATTCTTAGTCACTCCTGCACAAAGCCTCCATTCTAGCCACACTGAACTTGTCATCGTTTCTTGGACCCACCAAGTACGCTCCTGCCCTAAGCTTTGCTTTCAGTGTTGTTCCCTGTGCCCGGGATACCCTCCTTAATACAGTTCCAGTTCTACCTTCTCAACGGAGCACTCCCTTCCCCATGCACCCTTTAGTGACCCCTTGCTTCTCTCTATATATTATCTGTACTGTTCTCTTGTTCAAGACACCTGTGTTGTTACTGCTCTGTGTATGTATGTGTGTTCTGTTTCTCCAACTAGATTGTGAGCTCCTTAAGGGCAGAGCCATGACTTATACCTCTTTGTATCCCCAGTGCCTTGCATAAAGTAAGCACTCAATAAATATCTACTGGTGACCACCTGCTCTGAAATTCTGCTTTTCCCATGGATGCACTCATGCCAGACAAGGACAATCTACTGGTGACCATGGTTCCTGGTGTTGTCAGTTCACAGAAAGAACCCTTGGGAGTGGCATCTCTGTAACTCACTCTCCCTTAGTGCAGCAAAAACAGCTCCATATACCAGAACAAAAGAGAAGTCTGCAGTGTTTGTGGTGTGGCACAGCTTAGGGATAAAACTGGCTGACATCACAGATGAAGTATAATCTGTGTAACTGATATAACCATAGAAACTACGAGGGGTCATTTCAATCTTCCCACTTTTTATTCTGGAATTAGAATCTCCTTGTGAGCTTTAAAATACATTGGTGCCTGGGTCTCACTCCGGAGACCCTAAGTACTCTGGGTCCTAGCTTTTTTTTTTTTTTTTTTAAATGTTTTATTTATTTCTAGGAGAGAGAGAGAGACAGCATGAGCAGGGGAGGGTCAGAGAGAGAGGGAGACACAGACTCTGAAATAGGCTCCAGGCTCCGAGCTGGCAGTCAGCACAGAGCCCGACGCGGGGCTCGAACCCACGAACCATGAGATCATGACCTGAGCGAAAGTCGGACGCTTAACCGACTAAGCCACCCGGGCGCCCCAAGGGTCCTAGCTTTTTTTAAAGCTTCCAGGTGATTCCCATGTGTGGCCAAGGTTGAAAATAATTGCCCTGAAGGAGATGTACATATGTGTATACATCCATACATACTCAGAGGGGGAGACTCTACTCCAGCTGTAGGTGAAAACAACTCTCAGTTGGTCGGTCCTGACCCAAAAGATTTCTAAGAACCTAAGTACTATATGCTTTTTGTTAACGTTTCTGTGGTGTCACAGAAAAGTTTCTTAAATTCCTCTAAATCCTTCCTTTTGAGGGCTGAGTACATATTCTTCTATAGCTGCTCACCACATCCTGGGATACAATATTTCAGAAATTCAAAGATGTTTAAGCTCCCTTTTAAAATTCCCTTTTAGTTTTGCTTTAACTTGTTAAAAAGGCTTAAAAATGGAGATTGAACAAGTGCTTAATGATAGCTGCGTATCCTAGCAACTCAGGATCTGTGGGAAC